ATTCTTTTAAATGAATTCCTAAAACTTTTCGTTTAATTAAATCTTCACCTATACCAGGTTGATTCATTTGTTGATAAGTTTCTGATAACTCAATAAAAATCCTACCAAATTCCCAAAAAAAACCCAACAAAAAAATTAAATTGATTAAACTTTTCGGGTTATCTATCAAAACCACTAATTTGTTCGAAAGAAGAAAACTTACTTTCGATGAATTTCAAAATCGTTTTCAATTTCATGAATGATTTTAACCAAAACAGTTTGAGGTTCAACCTTTTCTTTCTCATCATCTTCCTTTGCATTCGAATGTCTTGTAAGCTTTTCTTTTTCTTTACTCATCAATTGAATAGGTGCACTACTGATCCGAATCGGTCCATTGGCATTTCCAGCTTGCAGTTTCCTTTTCCTACATTCTGAACACGTCGAATTATCATGAGATGGGACGTTCTTAAGAATCGCTTCTGCTCTACTCATCTCTTGATCAATTTGAATCGATCCTCCTCCAGTTCCTCCATTCGATTTGGGTTTCATAGTCGTTGGTTTTTTGGTTTTTGAAGTTGTTAAGGGGTTGGGAGCTGAACTGATTCTTGTAGGTAACGGATTGCTTGGTTTACTTGGTCCAGGTGTAGGTTGTGATGGTTTTGAAACCGGTGGGACTGCTCTTGTTGATGGTTTTGGTTTTGAATGAGCTATAGTTGAAGTTCTCATTGCTTGTTCTTCTGCTACTTCTTTTTTCAATCTTTCAATCTCATCTGCCTAAAACCCATCCACACACCCACAAAAGAAAAGAAATCTCAGTGAATGTGTTCTCATACACCAATAGAGATCATAAAAAGAACTTACCCCAATAAAACTATGACCACTTCTCGGTGTAGAAGAAGCTTGAGACCTCCATGCTTCTATCCCGCTTCGATCATTCAAAAGAGTGATTTCAGAATGAGATCTGGCAGCTGGTATTCTAGATTTCAAAGGTACTTGATGCCGTTTGGCTTCTTGTTGAGTTTTCGATAATCCAATAGGTCTCATCATTCCTGATCCCTTGGGTTGAACTTTGCACGATTTCTTATTACTTTGACTGAGTGATAAAGATCTAGCTTCCATGACACTTTCAATCATTGATCTAATCTCTCTAACTTCAGTTGTTAATCCTTCAAGTCCTCTTTTCAATTCGATCACTTCTTCTGACCATTGTCGAACTTCAGTTCTAACATTCCCAACTTCTTGTTTCACATGTTTATGACGAGTTTTAAACGAATTCAACTCTTCTAAGGCTATTGCATGTGATTCAATTGATTGATTAAGTTTACGTGTATAAACTTTTAATTTTTGTACCATTCTTTCGACTGGTACTTCATGATTTCCTGTGGACGAAATCGGTCCTTCTCGCTTCTTTTCGGATCTCTCTTTTCGTAATTGGGATTCTAAATCTTGAATATGATCTGCACAGTATACATGTTCATTTTCTAATCCTACCAATCTACGTGTTAAGAGTGTAAGAGCTTGATCCAGGGTAGCATCTTAATCAAGCAAAGTCTTGAAATCAGTCAAAGTAAAAATCAATCAGATTAGAATTCAAAAGTCCCTCACCTGGTCTAGTAGAATCGGTCGATCCTTTGGCATTAGCTCTTGATCCTTTATGAAATTCAGGTTTGTCTGGACTTCTCAACGCGTCCGTCAGACCAGT